TCCATCTTTCCCAGCATCAGGCTCTTCTCCAGTGAGTCCTTCCTTCTCATTAGGTGGCCAAAGTACCTGAGTTTCAACCTCAGGATCTGGCCTTCTAAAGAGCAGTCGGGGTTGATCTCCTCCAGGACTGACCGGTTTGATCGCCTTGCAGTCCAGGGGACTCGCAGGAGTCTTCTCCAGCACCAGAGTCCAAAGGCCTCCATTCTTTGGTGTCAGCCTTTCTTATGGTCCAACTTTCACCGCCATACATTGCAACTGGGAAAACCATGGCCTTGACTCTGCGTACTTTTGTTGGCAGGGTCTGGAATGGCTGGGTCCTTGACTTACGACCACAATTCAGCCCCACATTTACGTTGCTAAGCGAGACATTCGTGAAGTGAGATTTGTCCCCATCGTACGAACTTCCTTGCCACCACCACTATTAAGGGAACCAACGCAGCTGTTATGTGAGTGACACAGTTGTTAAGTCAATCTGACTTCCCCTTTGACTTTGCAAGAGGGGAACCCAGGACCCCGGGACGCTGCAACTGTCTTAAGTACAAGTCAGTGGCCAAGCGTCCGAATTTTGATTACGTGATCACGGAGATGCTGCAACGGTTGTAAGTGGGTGAAAAACGGTCCTCGGTCACTTTTTTTCAGCGCCGGTGTAACTTTGAACGGTCACTAAATGAACTGTTGTAGGTCGAGGATTGCCTGTGGTCACTTCTACTACACATTGCTGGTGCAAATGCTCTTCGAGCGACAGCTAGAAGGATTTACCAATGGGATGGTCAGAAACGAAGAACGACGGAAGCCTGAAGAGGACTGAAATTCAAGGTAGGTGCAATGTGGGAGATAACAGAGATGGAAGGGAGCTTCTAGTCCAGTGGTGGCGAACCTATGGCACGCGTGCCAGAGGCGGCACTCAGATCCCTCTCTGTGGGCACGCATGCCGTTGCCCCAGCCCTGCCTCCCCCCACGGCCCCTCCTCACCAGCAGCCCCCCCAGAGAGTCACCCCCAGGCACAGCCCGCACAGAGCAGCACAGCCAAGCACATGGCAGCAGGGACAAGACTCTACCGTCGCACCCCGTGGCGTGTAGATGATACTACAGGGCGCAGGCGGAGGGGATGGCTGCCATGACGCTGCTGGGCCACCTGGGCGATCTGCTACGACGGGCTGTGGAGGCAATGGGTGGTCCTGTGGGCAGGTGGGGTGGGGGGACAGAGCAGGGGCAGGGGCGGAGCAGGCGGGGCAGTTTTTGGGCACTCGATCTCTAAAAGGTTCGCCATCACTGTTCTAGTCCCTTCTGGAATTCTAGTCCAACCCCCTGCTTGAACCGAAACCCTAAACCATTCCAGACAAATGGCTGTCCAGTCTCTTCTCGAAAGCCTCCAGTGATTGAGTATCCACAACTTCTGAAGGCAAGTTATTCCACTGGTTAATTGTTCTCACTGTTAGGAAGTTTCCCCTTAGTTCCAGGTTGCTTCTCTCCTTGATTAGTTTCCATCCGTTGTTTCTTGTCCTGCCTTCAGGGGCTTTGGAGAATAGCTTGACTCCCTCTTCCTTCAAGAAGCCCCTCAAGTATTGTTAAGACTGCTACCATGTCATCCCTAGTCCTGCTTTTCATTAAACCAAACATACCCAATTCCTGCAACCGTTCTTTTTATGTTTTAGCCTCCAGCCCCCTAATCATCTTTGTTGCTCTTCCCCGCATTTTTTCCAGAGTTTCAACATCCTTTTTTATATCCTGGTGACCAAAATTGGATGCCCAAGACCCTCCTATCTGGACCTCATCCAGATCTGACAGGTGCCAAACTCCCAGACTTTTAAGCAACCCCGGTGCATTCTCCCTCCTGTTGGAGAATGCCCAGATTACGGAAGATCACTTTAAATCCGTGCCAGGTTATGCCAACTCTCCATGGAACTTCAATCTCCTTCTGAGCCAAGAATTGATTTGGCTTCCTATCATTGGGAAGCTACTTTGGAAAAAAAAGAAAGCAAAGAAAAGATCTCTAGGCACAGGATCTCAGCCCACAATTACAGTCTCTGCTGAATGTTTGGGCAGCCTGTGGGACTGAGGGTTTATTACACAATCAAAGTGTCAGTAAGCACTGGGTCTGTTTTGTCTCTCCTCACTTTGGCATTAATTGTAGGGTGTGTCCTTCTTTTGTCTCCCCCCCCAATCACACAAAACCTCTCCTCTCCTCGCACAAAATCTCTCTCCTCCTTCCCTTCAATCTCCTGCTGGCTGCCCAGATCTCGCAAGGAACGACACACCGATGCCACCTGCCACAAGCCAAGCCATCTCGGTGCCATCTGCAGCGTCACACTGAGCCATCGTAAAGCACTACGTGGGCGCTAAACTAAAATCCTATTCAGATAAAAAACAGAGGTGAATATTGGTAACTCAGGATGGAACTATGGCAGTGTTTCTCAACCTTGACAATTTTAAGGCATGTGGACTTCAACTCCCAGAATTCCACAGCCAGCAATGCTGGCTATGGAATTCTGGGAGTTGAAGTCCACATGCCTTAAAATTGTCAAGGTTGAGAAACACTGAACTATGGGGTCCTTTGTGGTCTCTGATCTGGATGGTTTTCTTGCCGACACTTCATGACCCAAATAGGCAACATCATCAGCGCTAGAAAGTGGTGGGATCTGCTGTCTGTTTTATGTATGGTTTGCCCTGTCTGTGCTGATGGGAATATTCTAGGTCAGGGATAGGCAACCTTGGCTCTTTTATGACTCGTGGACTGCAACTCCCAGAATTCCTGAGCCAGCATGAGGGAACTATGGCCCCCTCCATGACTCGTGGACTTCAACTCCCAGAATGCCTGAGCCAGCATGGGGGAACTATGGCCCCCTCCATGACTCATGGACTTCAACTCCCAGAATTCCTGAGCCAGGATGGCTCAGCTTGGAAACCTCTCCCTTTCCCCTCAGCATGGCTGGCTCAGGAATTCTGGGAGTTGAAGTCCACGAGTCATACAAGAGCCAAGTTTGCCTACCTCTGGCCTAGGCCTAGACCGCTTTCTGACTCGTGGACTTCAACTCCCAGAATTCCTGAGCCAGCATGGCTCAGCTTGGAAACCTCTCCCTTTCCCCTCAGCATGGCTGGCTCAGGAATTCTGGGAGTTGAAGTCCACCAGTCATAAAAGAGCCAAGATTGCCTACCCCTGCTCTAGGTGGTTCCTTAATAGAGCTGTTGTTTACTTGTTTGGTTGTTTGTCTGAGTTGGTAAGTTTCTTTTTTTATATATATAATGTGAATTTTATTAGTTTATAGTGTAAGACAGGGCTCCCCAATCTTTTGAGGTTGGCAGCCCGGAGGAAAAGGCAGGAGGAGGAAAATGTGCCTGATGTCAACGCTGCTAACATCGGATGCTCTTGCTTTGACAACATATGGAGATGCAGCCTTTTTCTTTCTTATGCTTTACTCTTAGAATTAGATGATACTGGGGGAGGGGGAACAATGTGATGGGAGTTAGTTAGACATAACAATATTGTAATAGTGTGTGAATTCAGGGCTTTTGAAATAAGAGATGATAAGGAATGGCGGGTTGGAGTAAAGGAGGGAAAGCCTGCATTTCAAATTAATTGGAGAATGGGATTTATGACTGTTAATTAGAGGTGGGAACTGTGTTTGATACTATGTGCTCAGGGCAGGGGAATCCAGATTTTGGCTTCCCTCATGTATGTGCCGATACTATGCTGAATAAAGATTCTTTAAGGTAAACAATGCCTCAGAGGTTCTTTGAAGAGTTTCATCTGTTGGAACCATGACACGTGGTGTGCGCACTGTGGTGATACTAGCACCCGCATGCATGGGTAAGCAGGCTGCTAGTGCCCGCGTGATGCTGGCGGCAATGCTAGTGCCCCCATTCACGCACAAATGGGGCCACTAACACCCGTGCAGCGGCACTAGCGCAAGTGAGTAGGGTGCGGGCACCATTCCCGTAGCCCGGTGGCCAACAGGCCACAGGTTGGGGACCCCTGGTAAAAGATACAAAGAAAATACAAAAGTAAACAGTAGGAAAGATAAGGAAGGGGAAAGGGAGAAGAGTGGGGCAAAGCAAGTGGGGGGGAAAAGGGCACTGACTTCTGACTTCTTTTGGTGCAGTAAAATAGAACATTAACATCAAACCTCAACTTTTTATCTGTATATGATAGGATGAACTAGCAGTTTCGATAACGACAAACCCATCTAATCGGTAAAGCCCAAAATCAAACTTTCATTTTCTTTTCCACCTCAAGCACAAAGTCCAGAAACGGTTTCCACGTAGAAATAAAAAGTATTTGTATTTTTTTTCCTTTAATCAAAAGAGTTGATTTAGCCATCTCTGCTAGTTCCATCAGTTTTTTGCAGCCATTCCTCCACTGTGGGGAATGATGGGACCTGAGTTGGTAGTATCTCGATTGGGGTATTGTTTACTTCTTGACTGTTGCTATAGTGTTAAGTCTTGGTGTTAATTTCTGCTCATCTGGGTACTGATTGCTGGCGAGGAGGGGTTTAGGTCTTTTTGGGCTAGACAAGCCACTGGTGTACAAAAAGGGAGCAAATTCTACTCCCTTACTAGCACTGATGATGTTACCTAGTTTGGTAATTAAATGTCTGCAAAAAAACAACCGAGAGAGCACCAAGGATCCTGTTCAAACACCCACCCAGTCACCACTGGGCACTATTTCCTCCCAGTTCTTTGTTCCAAACGCACAACAGACAATATGAGACATCTCCTAAGCTGGGGCAGATTCTTACACACAACGGCAAACCTTTACACAGTTTTAGCAACTCCTGAATTTGTGCGGAACAAAATGCACTCTTTGGTCTTGCAGTCGCACGCTTACAAGCCAAAATCTGGAGGCTTCCATCTGCCGCGAAAAGCACCTTCAATCTCGTGGTGGCCCTCAAAGCACCAGCGATGGGGTTACCCCACCCCAAGCAACACAACTGACACCTTGAGCGTCAAACACGCTCACTCACAACGGGCATCTTGCAAAGAAAAACAAGCCAAAAGTTTACCTTTTTTCGCTGTTTCCATCTCCTCCTCCGTCCAGCGAGAACTTTCGTTCATCTCCAGAGAAGCTGGTGGAAAGAAAAGAAGAGACAATAAGAAGAAAAACAAAATTCTTGGGTGGGTGTGTGTGTGTGTAAAACTTAGTGTCATGCGATTTGCAATGACCTTCCTATCAAACCTGACTTCCTTCAGCTTAGGCACGAAAGTCAGCTAGCTAACTTTGGGCCGATCACCAGGAGACAGTGAGTTCTAGTCCCACCTTAAGCAGGAAATCTTAGAGACTGTCCAAAGAAAAAAGCCAGTTTGGTGTAGGGGTTAAGGTGCTGGCCTAGAAACCAGGAAACTGGGAATTCTAGTCCCGCCTTAGCCAGGAACACCAGTTGGGTGACTTTGGGCCAATCACCAGGAGACGGTGAGTTCTAGTCCTGCCTTAGCAGGAACACCAGTTGGGTGACTTTGGGCCAATCACCAGGAGACGGTGAGTTCTAGTTCCTGCTCAGACTTGAAAACCAGCTGGGTGACTTTGGGACAATCACGAGTAGACTGTGAGTTCTAGTCCTGCCTTAAGACACAAAAGCTGGCTGGGTGACTTTGGGCCAATCATGAGGAGGCTGTGAGTTCTAGTCCCGTCTTAGGCACAAAAGCCAGCTGGGTGACTTTAGGAAAATCACCAGGAGATGGTGAGTTCTAGTCCTGCCTTAGCCAGGAACACCAACTGGGTGACTTTGGGCCAATCACGAGGAGGCTGTGAGTTCTAGTCCCGTCTTAGGCACAAAAGCCAGCTGGGTGACTTTAGACCAATCACCAGGAGACGGTGAGTTCTAGTCCCGCCTTAGCCATATAAGCCAGCTGGGTGGCTTTGGGCCAGTCCCTGTCTCTCTCAGCCCAACCCACCTCACAGGGTTGTGGTTGTAAGGAAAACAGGAGGCGGAAGGAGTATGATGTATGTTCTCCACCTTGACTTATTTATAAACATAATAAAAGCAGGAATAAAACAAAACAAAAAATAAAAAGATGAATAGCTACTGCTGTTAATCATCTGTTTTAAGATTCTGATTTTCGTTATCTTTGGTAATAGAAGAAGACTTAAAAGGAGACAACTAGAATCGAACCACAATCAGCCAAACAAACGTGCAGCTAAATTCTGCCCGGAGGGCTAAACTCAGCTCATCCTCTGAAGCCCAGCCTTGAATCATCTACCGGTTCTTCCCATTCAAGCTAAGCCTAGTTAAGCCCAGATCCACCCCAGATCCAATTTCCAAGCTAAGATTTCTCAGTTCTCCACAGCCCTCAAGTGGCCGAGAGAGGCAATTTTCCCCTCCAACTACAGGGAAGGCTGCCCGTCGGCAGAGAAGGAAGTGGCTTTCCAGAGAATTTTTAATCCAAAATTTGTCATCTCCTGTCCTACTTCTTCAGTCCGGCTCCGCCTGTGTTTTGGAAGAAGTCTCTCGACACGCCCTTCCAGGTTCTTCTGGAAAAACAGCGCCATTTCTGACTCCCCTACCTAAATTGTCTGCCGGCTCCAAACCCAAAGAGAATTAAGTTGCGTATTTCTGAAAGCAATGCTTTGGTTTACGTTTAATTAAAATAATAGTAATAGTAATACTACTAGTAGTAGTGGTAATAATAATAATGGTAATAATGGTAATAATAATAATAATAATAATGGTAATAATGGTAATAATGGTAGTAATAATAATAATAATAATAATAATAATAATAATAATAATAATAATAATAATAATAATAATAAAAAGTTGGAAGGGACCTTGGAGGTCTTCTAGTCCAACCCCCTGCTCAGGCAAGAAACCCTATACCATTTCAGACAGATGGCTGTCCAGTCTCTTCTTAAAAACTTCCAGTGTTGGAGGAGGAGGAGGAGGAGGAGGAGGGGAGGAGGAGGACGAGGAGGAGGAGGAGAGCTGGAAGGAACCTTGGAGGTCTTCTAGTCCAGCCCCCTGCTCAAGCCATTTCAGACAGGTGGCTGTCCAGTCTCTTCCTAAAAGCCTCTACTGATGGAACAAGCTGTTCCACTGGTTAATAATAATAATAATAATAATAATAATAATAATAATAATAATAATAATAATAATAATAATAATAA